TATCTTTTCCAGGCTTTTTTTTTTTTAACTGGGGATCAAACTTGGGACCTTGGGCTTGCGAGGCAGACAGTGGCACCACTGAGCTAAATCCCCGGACCTCCAGGCTTTTTATCCAACATTAAAGCCATGTTGTTTTTACCTCAAATGCTCATTTGAGAGGAATTTTGTCCTTAAATATATTGAGATTTGTGTCCTAGTGTGTTAGCTTTTCTTCATTTGTGTCAAAATACTGGAAGTAAACAACATAAAAAGGAGGAACAATTTTTCTTGGCTGACTGTTTCAGAGGCTTCAGAGTCAGCTGGCTCTGTTGCCCTTGAGTCTGTGTTGAGGCAGCACATCATGGCGGAGAGCATGTGGTGGAACAAACTTGCTCACCTCATGCCAGCCAAGAAGCAAGAAGAGAAAATACAGGCACAGAGGTCGTGATACCTCCTTTGAGGGTATGCTTCTAAGGACCTAATCTCCTTTCACTGGGCCCCACCTTCTAAAGGTTCCACCACCTCCCTTGTAGCCCCACAGGCTGGCATCCAAGTCTTTAGCATATGGGCCTTTGTATGACATTTAATTTAGCCAGGTGTGGTGCCACACATCTGTAATCCCAGCACTTGGGAGGCTGAGACCAATTGTGACTTTCAGGTCAATATGTGATATGTACTATGTAGTGAGACCCCTGATTCAGAAAACCGAAAAAGAAAAAAATACCAACCATTGACATCTATACCTAATATACATAAAAGTTGTGAAATTCGAACTGATGTTGAAAATTCTTACTGGAATTAGTAGCACTACAACTTAATAGTGCTAATATGGAATAGTGCTAGAGTTTCAATTTCAGCTGTATAGCTTAATGGTGTATGACTTAGACAAATAATTTAAACTTTTTTTTTTTTTTGGTACCAGGTATTGAACTCGGGTCCTTAGTCTTGCCGGGCTGGTGGCAGAACCACTGAGCTAAATCCCCGGCCCTATAATTTAAACTTTTAATGTAAAAGTACAGCTTATTAAATATTTATTTTTCAGCAACAATTACAGTGAATGTGCTATTGAAATAGACAAGTTTCATTTCAGCCGAGTTAGTTAAAGTCATTGTGAATCATGTAAAGAATTAGGCATTTGTAACGTTGTAGAGGCCTGGAGCAGTGAAGTTTGGGCCTCCCTCATTCATAGACTATAGCTGATGCTGCCACCATGAAAGTCTGCTAGAGTGTGCTTCCCACACTGCCTTCCAAATCTTGTGTGTATTCTTCACTGGTATAATCTACATCCGATTTATAACCTGATCACAAGGGCGCGCGCGCACGTGTGTGTGTGTGTGTGTGTGTGTGTGTGTGTGTGTGTGTGTGTTTGTCTTTCTGCTGTAGGAAGCTTGTGTTTATGCTGGCCATGAGCAGAACAGGAAAAGAATAGAAAGCCAGTCACACAGTGGTCTTGAAGTGCTCTTAGTGATATCAAAATATTTCCATCATGATATAGCAGCCTCATAGAATGAGTAACTTATTTACAGAAAATTTATCTCACCTTAAGTAGGTTTAACAAAGGACATTTATTGAGATGACTCGAGACTACTACTTTTTTTTGGTACCAGGGATCTTACTCGGGTCCTTGCACTTGCGAGGCAGGTGGGGGAACCACTGAGCTAAACCCCTGGCCCTCCAGACTACTTTTGGTAATATCTTCAGTGATTCTCTAATTGCCAAATCCAAGGGTTTGAAATTTTTTCTTGAGTTTAGAATTGCTTAAGTGATGAGTACTTCAAGTTCAACAATCTATCACGTAGTCTCAACTAGGTGCAGTATTGTTTTTCTGTATATATTTGTGCTGGTGAAGGGTTTCAGGAAGGCTGTCTGTGAAGAGTATGTCCTTAAGGCTGCTTAAGCTTGATGCTGTCATTGTCACTCACCTGTCACTTAGGTGCTCTCAGTTTCTGGGCAAAGATCCCTTTACAATATGTATTATGTTATATTTATTTGTGCACTCTCCAATACACTTAAGAGATCATCGGGAGCGTGGGGGTTGTTCTGACTTTCTTTATCCCTCATGCCCAGCTTAGTACCGGGAAGGTATTGCTCAGTAAATGTTTGTTCAGTGACTGAGCATTACATTACAAGGTCAGTCCTGACTACTCATTTCACAGTGTCTGAAATAGGAGGAGCAGGAGGTAGGGCTGGGATTAAAAATAGTGAGGGTTTCATTGTTTGCAGTGAGAATTGCCTTGTTCTTTAATATATCTTGGAAAGTCAAATAATTCAACATATTAAAAGATTTTTGAATGAACATATGAAAAGATAAACCTCCTATTTTAACCCTAGTCCTAGAATATTTAAAGTAAATAAAATATTTTTAAAAAACAGACCATCTTACTGCCTAGAACTAGAGTTCCAATAATGATCTCTGTCTCTTTTCTTTATTATTAAACATCAGGGAGTTAGGTTAGTGGTCCTTCAGAACTCTCTACCAAAATTTCTAACTATGGTCAAAACTGCCACCCTGGAACTTGGCTTAAAGTAAAGCGAAGTTAAAACTTTGGCCTGAGTTCCTGTCTTCGGTCATTCTGTCCCACCTGCTTTTGGTCTCTGATATTTCCAAATTTGACAACTTTTCCTTTACTCTGTGCTAGTGTGTTCCAATCTCAGGGATTAATTGTCCTTTCACTGTAGCTGTAAAGGGACAGAGATCCCTGGCCATGGAGTAACATGTCTGTCTCTGTTTAGGAGATTGGAACCCATTTCTTTCCTCCTAACCACAGACAACTGTGTCACAGGTCTTGATTTAGTCCAAGGTTGATAGGTCAAGCTCTTCTTGGTTCTAGTCTAAAGCCCCTTTTCTGTCTTGGAGTTTGATAACCCTTCTGTAATATAGTTTTTTTCTGATGGTTACATAGTAAAACAAAAAATATTGTTCTTTGTTGCCAAAAATAATTTGCCTGTGAGGAAATAGTTCTTTGAAGTATTTGAGTTAATAACAATACCTCGAACATTAATATGCAGTGAAATGAGATTACCAATACTGTGGTTTTACTTGAAGAGTTATTATAGTTACTCCATTTGATATGAGTTGAAACAGGTTGGGAACTACTCTCTTGATTTTTCTTTTGGAGAATAAATGTATAATGAATGATAACTGAAGTATTAATTAGAATATGGATGTCTCTGTCCCTACTTTCATTCAGCCAGTATTCTTTGGGAAGACAAGATTATGAAAAAGGACAATGTTTTAAATGAAAAATTTTCAATTGTGACTATTTGTGGATATTTCCTAGCCTAAGGAAAAGTAATTTTAGAACTAATTGTGAGAGAGATGGTATCAAGAGCTGCAAAGTCTCACAGTACTTTGACTCTTCTCATTTCTAAGAGGATTGTATCTACTCTGAAGCTTATTTAGTAGGTACTTTAGAGTCCTACTGGTTCATAGGAGGTTATTAACTTTAGAGTTTTATGTAGAATCCTTTTGTTTGTTTTGGTACCAGGGATCGAACTCGGGACCTTGGGCTTGCAAGGCAGGCGGCAGAACCACTGAGCTAAATCCCCGGCCCTGTAAAATCCTTTTTAGCAATAACTATTTTTTGTTTTTGTTTTTTGAGACAGGATCTCGCTGTGTAGTGCAAGCTGATCTTGAACTCACTGTGTAGTCCAGGCTAACCTCCAACTCGTGGCAATCCTCCTGCCTCAACCCCCCAAGCGCTAGGATTATAGGGGTGCACCACCATGAGCAGCAGCTATCTTTTAAAATGCCGGGAATGTTGACACATGCCTGTGTTCCCAGCACTCTGGGAGACTAAGGCTGGAGGGCTGCAATTTTGAGCCTAGCCTGGGCAATTTAGAAACAGCAAGACCCTGTCTCAAGATAAAAAAAATTTTCAAAAGGGGTGGAGATGTAGCCTAGAGGGAAGACCTTGGGTTCAGTCTCCATTACTGCCCCCCAGTCTTTTACAGAATAAAGCTAAATTCTTTAGATGTTTCAGATCAGTTTATTTAACACATTAATTTAGATTGCTCAAGCTCAGATCTGAGTTCCAGAAGCTCAGTAGCATGCTGACTATAGTAATCTATAGTTCCATTTTATTTGATTTACTACCCTTTCACTTTGACAGTTGGAAGTCGATCACATGTGGTCTGGTCATGTGGGTTCTGAATATGTTGGGAGGGCAGTCATACGAGGCTGAGCACAGTGTTAAACATTTCATTTCAGCTCCACTGTGACTTGATTTTTTTTACAGACTTAAATTTTAGTTTGATCTCTGGAAAGAAAGGAAGACTAAGTCTGTGGTCATGGAAATTCATTTTTAGAATGTATTGTTTTTTCTTTTTCTTTTGGTACCAGGGATTGAACTCAGGTCTTTGTGCTTGCACAGCAGGGAACCAAACCACTGAGCTAAATCCCCAGGCCTGTTTTTTCTTTTATTTCTTTTGTATTTAGAGAATTTTTTTTAAGTCCTATGGTGGGGTGGGGGGGCAAGGTGGATGACTTTCTGTAACTTTCCCTTCATTGTTTCTTAATCTTGGAAGTATTTTTCTTGTTTGAAACTGGAATTATAATGGGTTTTGTGGCATTTTTCCCTAACAGACATATTATGGTGGATGTGGAAGGGAAAAGTCTTTTTGAGATTATTAGGAAGGGAAACTATGTAATGATGGACTTGTACAACTAAGTTTTATTTTCATGAGGCCAGCGTTATTAAATTCATTGATTCCACATTCATGTAATTTTTTTTTTTTTTTGCTATCGGGGATCGAACTCAGGACCTTGCACTTTCGAGGCAGGTGGTGGCACCACTGAGCTAAATCCCTGGCCCCATGTAACCCATCAAAGTTAATTGAACTTACTATAAATGAGTTGTGTTAAACAGAGTTGATACCCCTCCAAATGTTTTTCTGTCATGTCAGCTAATTAAATATAACTACTCATTCTCAGGTGCTCTTGCCATTTGAAAGGGGAAGTTGTGAAATTTGTTTTTAAAGTAATTCAGTTAAATTTATACTATTTCACCATTTGTTGGCAGGACTTTGTGTCATTGTATCAGGATTTTGAAAACTTCTATACAAGGAACCTCTACATGAGGATAAGAGACAACTGGAATCGACCGATCTGTAGTGTGCCTGGAGCCAAAGTGGACATCATGGAGAGACAGTCTCATGATTATAACTGGTCATTCAAGTGAGTGGTGGCTGGGAAGTTATTTCTTGACAACAACAGGATTTCTTCATATGAGAAAATACTGCAAGTTGAATATTCTCACAAAACAGAAATTGCAACTGAGGATACAGTACAATATAATATGATTGGCTTCTTTGTGGATTGTTCATTGATACTGGATTTTGTTGTTGTTAATGGTGATGTTGCTAGGGATTCATTCCAGGGCACTATACATGCCAGACATGTATTCTTCTACTAAGCTGCACCTCCAGTCCTCATTAAGATTTTTTTTTCAGTACTGGAGATTGAATCCTGGGCCTTTGCATTGAGCTATGTCCCCAGCGTTGTTTTTGTTTGTTTGTTTTTGGTACGGGGGGATTGAACTCGGGACCTTGAACTCTCTGGGCAGGCGGCGGCACCACTGAGCTAAATCCCGGGCCCACCCAAGTTTTTTGTTTTGTTTTGTTTTGTTTTTTGGTACCGGGGATCGAACTCAGGACCTTGTGCTTTTGAAGCAGGTGACGGCACCACTGAGCTAAATTCCCGGCCCCTACACCTAGCTTTTTTTTAAGGCAAGTTCTCACTAAATTCCTCAGAGTGGGCTCAAATTTATCCTCCAGTCTCAGCCTCCCAGAGTGCTAGGGGTATAGGCATGTGCCACTTTAAGATTTCTAAAGTACATTTTTCTGTTACATTTGATTCTGTATTAGATTATAGTTGAGGACAAATTTTGACTTATTAAATAAGAAAGAAAGACCATTATGCCACTTACCAGAATGGAGTACAGTATCTGACTTCATTTCTAGATATTTTTTATTTCTCTGAAGATTTAAAGATGGAGTATTTTTACTTAAGTTGAACAGTTTTAAGATTGTATATTCTTAACATTTTATTGTTTAGATTGCACAAGTATTGCATGATTGCTTTACCATTAAAGAAAAAAATAGAGATAAACTGAAAGTCCTCCATGACAACTTATCGCTGTCCTGTAAATCTACTACCCCACACATCCTCCTTCATCCTCTGGAGGTGACCATTATTACCACTTTGTTTTGTATTATTCCTCCAGATGTTTTTGGTGGGGCATGTGTATAGTGTATCTATGGGTTACTACCCATTTTTGCTATACAAAAATGGGATCATATTATAAAATTATTTTCCAGTTTGCTTTTTTTATTTGATAACATATTGACAACATTTTCTCATGTATATTCACAGCAAGTTAATTATTTGAAGTGACTATATAATATTGTACAGTATGGGTGTGCCGGGTATAGCAGATTAGGCTTAGGTTCCAGGGAGTTAAAGCAATGGCGGTTTATCTCTTTTCCATACTTTCACTCCACTTTAGTTTGCTGGAGTCTGAACCATGTTGTCCTTACTTAGAGGGCCAGGGTGACTGAGCTTTCTCTATATGAAATGTCATTGGTCACTGTGCATACAAAAGGGACATGGCAAATTGTGCAGTGGCTCTTAAAGGCCCTGTGTATGCACATGTATGGGAACTTCTGAGTCAAAAGAGTACTGTATATGTATCTTTTTTTTTAAAATAGTACTAAGAATTGAACCCAGGACCTTTTCTTGTCTTTGTTTTTATTTTGAGACAGGGTCTCGCTAAGGTATTAAGTTGCCTAGGCTGTGCTCAAACTTGTGATTTTTCTGCCTCAGACTCCCAGAATTCTGGGATTATAGAAATATAATCTCCACATCCAGCTAGTATGTATATCTTTCAAAAAATAAGAACTGCTAAATTGCCCTCCAAAAAAAGTACTGATGGATTTTCTTACCTAGTTTAAGAAACTGTCTTGGCCATAGGATATCATCAGCTTTAAAATATTATCACTATTGAAAAGTGAAATTGATATTTTTTTATATTGTACCTTCCATTTCCCTAGTTGGTAGCAAGTTGGAGCTTTGGTTTGGTGCAGATCATTTTCTCTTTACTTTCTGTATATGTTTTTTGTGTGTGTTACCAGTGCACATATTACCACAATTAAGAATTGGATTTGGGGCTGAGGATTTAGCTCAGTGGTTCCGGTGCCTGCCTGGCAAGTGCAAGAACTTGAGTTCAGTCCCCAGTATCAAAAAAAAAAAGAATTGGATTTTCTCATGAGTATGATTAAATATTATGGTATTGAAACACAGGTATACAGGGAATATAATTAAAGGAGTTATAAACATGGGTTCCTACAACTATCTTGGATTTGCACGGAACACTGGCTCATGTCAAGAGGCAGCTGCCAAAGTCCTAGAGGAGTATGGAGCCGGAGTATGCAGCACTCGGCAGGAAATTGGTAAGTATAAGCTGGGTTTGGACAGTGCCTGCTTTTGACTTTTGGGGGCAGGGATTTGATACAGGGTCTCCCTTTGTAGTTCAGGGTGGCCTTAAACTCACTTTGTAACCCAGGCTGGCCTCAAACTTAACAGTGATCCTGCTGCCTCAGCCTCCCTAGGGCTGGAATTACAGGTGTGCGCCACCATGCTTAGCTGTTTTTGATTTTGTAACTTCTGGAGTAAGAGTATAAAACATGCAAATATTTTGCCATATACTTTAGATCAGATAAATACTTTCTTTTTCTGAAGTGGTAGATTATTTTAATGTTCGCAACACATTTTGAAACACGTTTTCCAGTATGTTACACATATAGAATGTCCTTAGAAAAGTTCTGTATTATTTGTTTCTTTCATAACTTTAATGTTCATTTTATTAGCTTTTGCAAATGATAATGGTTAGAGATACATGGCTATTATTAATCATTTCATACTGGTAAAGTTTAGCTAATAATTCCTGTTTTATTGTTCTGTTCAAAAATATTTTTTAAATAACCTAAGTCATGTACAGCACTCAGAACATAGTAGACATTCAGTAAATATAAGTCTATAAAATATAAAGGATTATAGTTTTATATAAAGAGATTTATTTAAATAGTTCAAAGAAGGGTTTCAGATTCTTGTTCTAGAGAACTCATAAGCATAAAAGTTATATGGCAACTTTCTGGATATTCATTACTGTTAATCACCCCGAAGCAGTAGATTAAATCAACAGTTCACTCACTATTACTTCTTACAAGGGCTGCCACGTGCAGTTGGGTTCTTATTCAGAGCCTCTCACAGAGTTGCAGCCAGTGTGGCTCTGTGTCTAGAGTCCTTGAGGCGTCCTCATTCATGTTCCACTGGGGCTGGAGAGGCTGGAGTGTGTTCCCTTCCTGTGTTACTAACTTGGACTTCTTCATGGCATGGAAGGCTCAGAAAATCATTTATTTTAGTGGCAGCAGGCTTTCCGTAGAGCAAGAGTTCCAGGATACCTGGTGAAAGCTGGAAAGGAAGACTTATTCTCCAGCCTTCAGATCCAAAATATGCATCTTTGTATTGGTCAGAGTGAGTCAGTAAGGACAGCCCAGTGTCGAGAGTTGTGAGGATTAAATTCTGTAGTGAAACAGATTCGCATCCAAATTAATACACCATAAGTACTTAGTCAACTCAGTAAATATAAAACAGAATGAAGAATTGTTCAGCTTTTCTTATCTTCTTAAATTGGGCTTTTCAAACTGTTTATATAAGTTACAGGTCTTCAGGACTTCTAGTGGCTATTGCTAGTGAAATGTCTTAGTTTAGTTATTCATGCTATAGCAACTCTTACTGTTTTCTGGAAGAACTACTGTGTTTCCTGGCCTACAGCGGCTACACTCAAACCTTCTGACATACAGAATTTCAGAAACTTTTCTTGCTACTGCCAGGAAAGCACTGGACAATAAGGTCTACTAGTACATGGGAGTTTGTGAACGTTTTTCATGTTAAAGTCTAAGTTTTTAAGCTTCGATGTAAATAAGAAATGGCATAGTCTTGTAATCTAAAACATGCTTTGAAGATTTTTTTTTTTGCATGACAGTCTTTACTTTTACTTGTAAATGATTATCAGTACATTAAATAATAAGTAACAAGTTCTTGAGTCCTAACATCTAGTAAATACTTTTGTTTTGATTTGAGATAAGGTCTCACTGTATAGTCCAGGCAGACCCAGATCTTACTATGTAGCCCACGCTGACCTCAAAACTCGTGATCCTCCTACCTGAGCCTCCTGAGTTCTGGGATTACAGGCCTGCACCACCACATCCGGCTCATCTAGTAATTTGGGTTAAGATAAACTAAGTGCAGCCCAAGCAAGTATACTGGTATCTGCTGTTCTAATCCTTCCTCAAAATATATTACTTTAAGGCTGGCTGCTGCATCATACAAGTTACAAATAACTATTTACTACTTTTTCATAGATAAAGCCTCTGACCTTCAAGAAAGTGGAAGGGAAAAAAGTTATTTAATCCCTTCCTTTCTTTAAAGAACTGTTTTTCTTTTTCTTACTAAATCTATGAATGAAAAAGTCAACACTGATATACATGTTGCTTGAGCTAAAAGGTATAGGAAAAGAGACAATATACACTCATTAAATTTCTAAGAAATATGAGCTAAAAAAGGTGAAATGTTTGGAGAAAGTACTAAGTTTGTCCAAAGAAGCTAGATAGGCTACTCTCCAAAAAGTGAAGGAAACTATTATACAACATAAGAAATAATTTAATGCATTTCATAAGAACAGAAATTGACTTTGCTAAAGCTTCATATTCTGTGAGAGCATCTACAATGCAAATCCACAGAACAAGTGTTTCTTTGTTCTATCCATTGATGCTGTAGTTTTCGTGGTTTTCTGGCCAGATCTCTCAGATGAAGGCCAAGAGGTTATCCAGGACTTCTTCCCCGTTCTGCTGGAAGTAGGTCTGGACAATGGCCATCTTCTCCTGGGTCTCCTTCTCCACTTCACTGCTGCAGCTGCCGTTCGATCCTAAGGCCGCAGCTTCTTTGGCCTTGAACTCTTTCTCCTTCTTCAAGAGGTACTGTTCACGCCTCCAGTTCTTTCAGTTGCGGGCCTCAGACACCTCCACGACCAAGACATCACCTTCTCGGCCTGCTTCTTGACCTGCAGCAGCTGCTGGATTCCCTGCGACTGGCTAGCCATGGCTGCTGCAGCTCATAGGGCCAAGTGAGTGGCCTAAAACCCTAATTTGAAGATTTTTACATGAAGGGTTTTTTTTCTTGGTACTGGGGATTGAACTGAGGACCTTGCACTTGCCAGGCAGGTGCAGCTCCACTGAGCTACGTCCCCGGCCCTTACTTGAAGGTTTTAATTCCTCTGATCCCATACCAATTTAACGGTAGGAGACTTAGCTGGATCTTTGCCTCATCTAAATTCTTAGTCTATTAGCCAACTTCTAGGAGGAAGAACCTTGAAAACATGAAAACTCTGTTCTTTTTTAATGTAGTCTACTGGGTACTACTAGCTATTTCCTTAACGTAACTGCTGCCTCTTGCATCAGTTTGGACTGTAAGCTTTCTAGTTCTCCTGTATAGTTGCTTTCTGGTACTTCTTTTCTTCAGGAGGAATGGGAGGGGTAAACTTAGGAATTTCCTTTTCTTCTCCTCTGATTTGGATTCCTTATTTCCTGTATTCCTAGAAGATTTTAAGACCTTCGCTTTCCCTTAAATGCTTTAAGAAATTCCATTTGTGCGTTGGTCTGAGTCTTTTTCTTCCTCCTAATTGTGCTGTGTTTCTTGATGGATCTTTAGAAACTGAAAAATGACCTCTGATTATATAATACTTAAGCATTTTCTCAGTCCTCACTTTCAGTAACACCTCTTTGTAACCCCCTGGTGTTTATCCTTTAATGGTCTTTTCTTTGTCTTCTCTTTATTTCATTTTTCTTTTGTTTCCGAGAAATTTAGCATGCAGATCCTATATATGTAAACTTTCCTTTAATCACCATTTTCACACTGGCCCTGATATACTTTCATATCTGGTGTCCCTGAGATCGGAATAATATATTTTACTTAAGGGGATGGGAGAAGGCAAAATTACTTGTCGGTTTGGGTTAATTTTTCTTTTTCTTTTAATACCTTTATTGAGATATAATTCATATGTTATACAGTTTGCCCATTTAAAGTGTACACTTCACCATTTTTTAGTATATTCACAGAGCTTTGCAACCATCACCACAGTCTAATGTTAGAACAGTTCCATTTGCCCTGAAAGAAATACCATACCTATTAGCACACTTTGTATTTACACCTTCTCTCAAGTCCCTGGCAATCAGTAGTCTACTTTCTGTCCTTATGAATTTTCCTACTGTGAACATTTCATATAAATGGAGTCATATAATATCATGGTTTTTGTGTCTTTCATTTAGCATAATGTTTCTAAGATTGACTCATAGTATAGCATGCATTAGTACTTCATAGCATGCCTCAATATTCCATTCCATTTTATGAATGAATAGTTATTCATTGTAAGTACACTATATCTTGTTTATCCACTTATCTCTAGACAAACATTAGGGTTGTTTCCACATTGTGGCTGCAGCGAACATTAGTGCACAAGTTCTTGAATGATGCATGTTTTGTTTCTTTTGGGTATGTACTAAGGAGTGGAATTGCTGTGGTCATATGGTAATTATACAGTTAGCTTTCTTGAGGAATTGTTAATATATTCTCAAAAGCAGCTGTGCATTTTACAGTCCCACCAGCAGTGAGAATTTCTGTTTTTCCTGTCATCTTTCAAACCTTAATTTTGCTTGTAGCCCTTGCTTGCTTTCATCCTTGCTTACTTTGATTTCTGTTGCTTCCAGCTTTTAACCTCTCCAGAGTTCCATACAGTGAATTTGCTTGATTCTCACTGACTCATTGTCTACTCTTTAAAGACATAGATAAGATTTCACTCTTAAATAATTTCCCATCTGTAATGAATTCCCTGTGGCTGCTGTTACAGAGTACAGGTATATAGAACAAGATGTTGGGTAACTTAAGACAGTGCTTTATAATCTTACAGTTACAAAGTACAAGTACATAGAACGAGATACTGGGTGACTTTATAATCTTGTAGTTCTGGAGACTATAAGTGTGGGTCAAATATTATCTTTGTGCCTCTGGCACGTTTGTTTCTGTGGCCAAATTTCTCTTTCTTCTAAGGACATTGACCTTATTTTATCTGTGTTACTTCTAGACCCTTTTTCCAGAAATCATTTTCTGAGATACAGGGGTTAGGACTTCAAAATATCCATTTTTTGTTGTTGTTTTATTTTGTTCTGGTACTGAGGATCAGTCCAGAGTCTGATTCGTGCTAGGCAAGTGCTGTACCCTTGAGCTGTACCCCAGACCCTCAAGTTATCCTTTGTGGAACCCGATTCAACCCATCCTTCTGTTAATTGTGTTGAGGATTACAGATATCTACTAACATGAAATAGAGTTATGTTTTTATTTCTTGTTCTAATTGTTTTGTGATATTCTCCAACAGGAAAATGGGAGTAGAATATTTTAATATTCCATCTTTAAAACTAAGTTTCTGCCTGACACTTCAGAAATTACAGGCTGTTAGATTTAATGATAGATTAGGAATGTTGTATACTGTTGACAGGTAGTAAGCACACTTTATATCTTCATGACATTTTGCATTTTATAAAGTGCTTGAACATGCAGTTTCATTTGATCCTTACAACAATGTCATGAAGTAGAGATGGCAAAGTATTATTGGTATTTAGCAAATAAGAAACAGAGGCCTAGAGAGATTGTAAGTGACTCAGTTAAGCCTTAAAGACAGACACATACTACTATCAAGTCTAGCAACCTTTATCAGTATTTTTTTCTTCTGCAATATCATTTGGTCTTTATGTATTTGAGTACCAATGTAAAAATGACAGTACAATTTAACCAGTCAGATCAAAATGAGAGAAGATGCTTTTTACCTGTCTTATGCTCCATAACGAACTGTCCTAAAACTTAGTAATTAAAAAAAAACAGAGGGCCTGAAAGTATAGCTCAGTGCTAGAGCACTTGCCTAGCATGTGTGAGTCCCTGGGTTTGCTCCCTGGCACCACAAATAAGTAAAACAAATTTATTTGCTTGTGATTTTACAATTTAGGGAGGGCTTGATGCTATCTGCGGCTCCATATAGTATCAAATGGGCCATTCTGACAGGATAGATGGCTTAACTTACATGTGCAGCACCTCAGCTGGGTGGTAGAACTGCTAAAGCAGGGCTACTGAAGCCCTCTTCCCTTTTTCACCCCTCCTCCTCACTCCCTTTTCCTTCCCATTTCTCTTCCTCTAGAGTCTTTTATCCTCCTGAGCTCTTTCCAAAGATTCTGCCTCTATAGCAGACCAATTACAGTTTTGCATGGCAGGGGACTTAAAAGTGTAAAAACAAAATTTGCTAGGCCTTTAAGGCCTAGAGTTGTAACTGGCATGTACAGACATGAAATTGTCGGCAGCCCCTCTTTTTACCACAAGTGCTGGATCTGAATTTATTCAACTGTTGTGTTCTTTATTAAGGTATCGTGCTTTGTAATATGGACTCCTTCTAATACACAGATTGGTTTCTTTTTTATAAAATGGCAACTCAAATTCAGAATTTCATGATACTGACTTTGTTAACTTCTTCACACAGGAAACCTGGACAAGCATGAAGAACTAGAGAAGCTTGTAGCAAGGTTCTTGGGAGTAGAAGCTGCTATGGCATATGGCATGGGATTTGCAACAAATTCAATGAACATTCCTGCTCTTGTTGGCAAAGTAAGACACTTTGTCATTTGTGAAAATTCCATGATACCTTTAATTCTCCTCCTCCCCCTCCCTCTCCCTCCTTCTCCCCCCTTCTCACTCCCCCCCTCATTAAAGCATTTAAGCTGGGTGTGATGGTGCACACCTGTCATCCCACCACTCAGAGGTCACTGTGAGTGAACTCACAGTGAACTCTGTGAGTTCAAGGCCAGCCTGAACTGCATAATGAGATCCTGTCTCAGAAAAAAAAAAAAACATTCAGAGTTTCAGGAGATCAGCTTGAAACCACACTGAGCAGGCTTTAGATGGTATTGATTTGGCTTATGAATTCAGCTATTGATTAAGATTGAGTCACTCCACTGTCACATGGTCTGATTTATTATTCAAAATAAAACAAAACTCTAGTGAAAAATTTTGTACTATGCCTTTTCTGTAGAAGGGAAGATACTCAAAATGTATAAACACATAAACGTTTTTGTTTTACAACTAAATTGCCCTTTTAAAAAAATATGGAGGTGGGCCGGGGATTTAGCTCAGTGCTTCTGCCACCTGCCTGGAAAGCGCAAGGTCCTGATTTCGATCCCTGGTACCAAAAAAAAAAAAAGAGAGAGAGGTAAAAAAAATGTGGAGGTGACAAAATAATAAATACATATTTTAGAAAATTCAAACAACACAGAAGTAAATAGAATAAGAAGTTACCATTCCTATACCTAAAATGATCATATTATCCAAATCGGAATGTATTTAAGAGTAAAAGGAAGTAATAATCATGTAATTACTCCAGGAGTGTAAGTGAATCCAAATTGTCTATCAGAAAGTCCCACGATTGGGAGGCATACAAAGAAATGAAACATGTACTGAAAATTCTGTATTTATATTTGTCCTGGTACATGGATACATAATTATTTAAAAATTTCTTTA